GGGAGCCAAACCCAAAGAATACCTGCCATTTGTGTGATGCTCTGAACTGGAGGTGTGTTGCTCTCCGTGGGTCTGTAGCACCAGCTGCGGCCGGGCGGGATGCACAGGGTGTTTGCTGCCACTAGACAGCAGAAGTAGAAACTTCTACTTCTTGACATGCAGACAATTTTGACTTGGATGTGTGTTTTGTGTGAGTAAGGAGTTGTTTTTTTTTTTTTTTTTTTACAGTCTGTCAGTCATGTGTTTTATGATGTTTTATCATAACGGGTGACTGACAGGTGAGAGAAGGAATGGTCATACTTCTCAAAAAGCTTACAAAGGCAGTGAACAGTTGTTAATCATGTTCTCTTTCTGAATGACAAACTGATAATGTTTAAATAGAATAAATTAATTGTGGCTGTACAATATCTTTTAGTAAGCTTATTAAACTGGGCATAATAAATCACTTACTGAGTTACAAGTCAGTAAGGCAGTGTTGGGGGGGAATGCATTTTCTTTTCATGTCCTTTAAAAAGCATCTTGAAAGTAAGGCACACTGGAAGAGTCATGGGGGATGCAGCACCCACGTATGGGATGCTATCGCTTGATGTTGCTGTGAGGGAGCTGAAGAGCAGCTGGGTGCCACCAGTGGCCGCTGCCTCCCGCTCTGGTGTGAGACCACCTTGCGGCGTGTCGAGTTTTGCTTGTTTTCTATGTTGGGCTGTGGGTGGTGGGGGGCCCTGGGTTCGTCACGCTGTGTGCGTTGCTGCAGTAGCTGCTTTCCCAGCAGAGAGGAAGGGAAACTAGTGGGCTAGCTGGAAATGTCCCAGGGGCCAGGTCGGGTCAGCATGTCCTGCCGGCACAGGTAATCATTACTATAATCACTACTAGTTTACTAGTACATGGTCCTGACTGGATTAAAAGTCTGTGTTTTGCAGGAGAGTTAAGAGGATTGTGGGTTGAGAGTTTGTGTTAAATCTCTAATAGTGGCAGGAGTTTGGGGGTCGTTGTTTTAAAAAGAAATAAAAACCAGCAAATGCAGCGTGGGGTGCTGAAGTTGTAAAGCAAACTGTGTTATTAGCTGCGGGGGGGTTAAACAACAATATCGACTGTTTCACTCGTAAATGATAATTAATATGTCTTTTTATTACTGACTTGATTTCTGCTGCTAATTTGGACTTCTCTATTACTGTCAGTGACGTTTGGCCATTCTGAACGTGGCCACGCTTTGCTCAACAGTCAGTGCAGCCTGTGGGGCCCAGAAACCTCCTCCAAGAGCAGGGTGGGAATGTGCAGCTAATCAGAAAGGCTCCAAAGAACAGAAAACGTCCTCCGTTGGCAGAAAATCCCTTTAAAGGAGTTTCTTCCCTTTCCAGCCATGTGTCAGAAACCTCTGATACAAGGGGACTGGAAACTGGATGATGGATTTTAAGAAGCTGTAGCCTCCTCCCCCCCATCAATTACCACTTGCATTTACAGAGTAAAATTAATGAAGTTAATTACATCTACTCAAAATCTTGGTTGTGTGAATATCTTGGATCTTTTAAAATAGAGAAGTAATTTCTTGCAGGGTTCACAGGTGCTTTTTTTCAGGGTTGGTTGGTTACTTTGGTTTATTGTCCCCATAATGCCTCTTGCTATCTGAAACACTCTGGGGGGCACCTTTTAGAGTAATACAAGATCTCCAATTCAGATTAAGGGCCACTGCAACGTTCAAAGCAAAAATACTGAAATCATTATAAAAATACTATGAAAGACCAATTTCTAACAAAGATGGAGAGGAGGATGGATTTGGAGAGTTAAAATGTAAAGCAAAATAATAGGGGAAGGTGCTTAGAGGTTAGAAATACATCATGTAATTAGCAAAGAAAATGTCTAATATACTGCTTGTCTGACAGTCTTTTACTTGTTTACTTTGGCGTCATCATTTTCAACATGCAGCTTTAACCAAAGGAATTTTTAGGGGTGTGTTTACATGTTAAGGTGGAAAAAAAAAGGCCAAAGAATAATCTGTGTGATCACAACATTTAAAAGTGGTACATTACAGTGTATAGTATTCAAGATGAGGACTTCAAAGAATGTTTGGAGAGATCAAACATACTTGATTGTGAGGCTTTAACTGATAATTTTATTTTAAAATTACTCGACATGTAAGGTTGACATTAAAGATAAGCCTAGGATTAGGGCTGGGGGAAATCTTTGACATCCAATTCAGTTTTCACCGACTTGCATGTTGTTTTTCTTAGGAAACTTCTCTGCAGATTTAAATTAAAATTTCTTCTTGGTTTGTGTTTTTTGGTTTGGGGATTTTTTTAAAAATTAAAAATCAAATAGAAGTTTTTTATTTGGAAACAGTCCTCTTGTGTTCTGTGGTGATTTAAACTTAAGTTTCTGTATAATACTCATTTACTACTGTGCCCTGGGCTTGCAGCTGGCCTCTGCCTCCTGTGGCACCCCATGAGCAGGACCTTCCAGGCTGGCTGTCTCTGTCCTTGTACCTTCTGAAAGGCAGAACGTGCTGTGTTTTGTGAAATGTAACTCAAAAAGACCGTGGTTTACATAGAAAATATGAAGGTGATAGGTACATTACTAGAGCTTTCCTGAAACATTGCAGCAGTGTTTCCAAATGAAAACTTCAGATTTTTTTAGTTAAAAGACTTGTGTTTCGATTTTTCCATCAATAAAATTCTAATTCACTTTGTGTACAAGTTCTCATTATGCACGAAAGCGATGCTAACAAAGATTCATTTCCCAGGAGAAAAGGCAAAAGCATCACATATGTGATCCTGATACAAATAATTACCCCCACAACATATGCAGTATGGTAATATGGGGTTAAGCATGCAACGTGAAGGCTCGTGGCGTGGCCCAGCAAACATGAAGAACAACAGGATTTTGAACAGCCGTACTATCCGGACATTTAGTTAGGGCTGTCTGAACACGCACACTTGAAAAACCAGTTTAACAGCAACATGTACTGGTTGAGCGCAGAGTCAAGCAAGTGTCTGGGCAGGCATTGGAAAGTCTTTAAGGAAACAAATATTCTCGGCTGATGATACTTCTGCAGGGCATCAGGGATGTGAGGCGTCCTTCAGAGTCATAGGACTGTGGGTTGCATTCCTTTTGTTAATGACTGAGCCATACCAAAGGAAGTCATGCTTCCATTTCAGAAAACCTGTAACATAAACTTCTTTTTGTTTGGGTTGTCTTGGGCTAGGTTATTGAGAGAGGAACCCTCTTTGGTTTGGTTTGTGTAGTGTCCAGCACAAGGAGTTGCATACCTGTGAGTGAGGCTCACTAAGAGCTGTTGCAATAAGAACAAAGTGATATCTTCTGTCCTCTAAAATTACATTTTAGCAAAATACATGCTCTAAAACCCCCATAAAATTCACATGGAGACAAAATATTTAATGAGACTACTGGTTGAATTGTACTGATTACGGGAGTCGTTAACACAGAGGGAGTGCTTCTCTGAAAATTGGCAGTTTTAACGAATCAAAATCATTTGTTTGTTAGGTGAGTTATCACTGGGACTTGTTCTTTTTCTGTCTGTGTTTTGGGTAGTTGCTAGTTTCACCTAAACGTTAGAGATACTGTGCGTTTGTCATCATTTAATTGTTTTATCATGTTCTGCTAGGAATATGGAAGCCCTTTATTTTCTGTTTATTGCTATGAAATTGTTTCAAGTTTTACAACTTCACAGGTATAGACTGTATCAGCAGTTTTTAATTGTGCATATTTATGATTTTGGTGTTTTATAGGATTCTGGAGGTTAAGCCTCTCGGCTGTCACCGTTCTCTTTCTCTTTGCTGCTGATGGAAACACCTTAGCAGCAGCAAGTAAACTGCTGGCAAAAGGAACTGCAGCACTAAGATAAAATTGTTTCTAATCTAACTGCTTCTCAAAAAAACATATTCAAGGAATCAGTCAATTGTAGCTTTTTTCTAATGTACTATATTTACAACCTCTTGACAATTTGAGCTGAGCGCAGCAAAAACCTGGCCTAATTGCAAGGACTGCAGAAAAAATACTTGCACTTTTTTCCCCTAAATAAATGGTTATTTCTTCAGGATGAAATGCATATCTGCATTACGAAAGAAAACAATAACAGTTCTGTGTCTGCGCTCATTAAGTGGTTGGAAAAGAATGTACAAGTCCAGATTTTTTTTTTTTTTTGATCTACCTAGATTTCAGATCACACGCTGGAGCATGTTCCCTGATGCTTCTAATTCTAAAGGGAATACTGTGCATTTTGATGATACTTTTATTATCACCTTTCACTTCCAAGAATGTCTGTGAGATTTTGGGTACAGTGCTGTACGATAGTAAGCTTTTACAGTTCTGGAGTGTAAGTATGGAAAATAACACAGGATTTCATAATGTATCTGTAATTCATATCAGCACCAAAGTGTTTATGATTTGAAAGAGAGATGCATTATTTCTGTGAGACTGCATGTAAATATGTATATATTTAGGCAACTGGTTTTTTGGGTTTTTTTTTTTTGCAACATTGCTGACTTAACTTGTAAAATAATGTTGTTTTTTCATCTTAGGTCTGAGGGTAACTGTGTTGCTAACATCATCCCTCATGGTACTGGGAGCTGGCCTGAGATGTGTTCCAGTTTCAGACCTAGAAATTAGGAAGAAGTAAGTGAATTAGTTATTTTTAATATACATATTTTATACTTTCTGTTAATGTAATTTTTGCTGCTACTGCAAAGAAATGTTAGTACAAATTTTCTGTATGAATTTGATATGCCAAATGTTTGTTGTGTGGATGTGGGCTTACATGCTTCTTTGCTTCTTAATTTGATTTTTCTAGTCATCCTTCTACATAGTATCTGAAGATCAGAAAGCCCTTTGCAAACTTGAGTTAATTAAGCCTCACCCCATCCTGCATAACTAATATTAATCTGCTTTGCAAACAAGGAAGCAGAGATTTAGAGAGGTTCAGAAACTGGCCCAAGATCACACAGGGAACCATGCCACAAAACCCAAAAATACGTAATTTGTATAGAAATGTTGAATAATTAGTTCATGTTTCTCATATTGGATGTATGGGATTGTGCAGTGAGAGAGATGAATGTACATAAAATGGCCTTTTTCATGTAGTCTCTTCCAGTCTGCATTCCAAAGTAGTCTTGTGCTTTCTCTGTGGCTGAAATGAATGCCTTCTGTACACATGCAATTTAAGAGTTTGTGATAGAGACAGATTCCTTCCTAAAAATCACACAATCCAAACAATTCAATTGTCAACGTATCCTGAACCTGGGAATCCTTGGTAAGTACAGGAGTTGCACTCATTTTGTACAGCCAGGTAATATGGATAACTTGTTGTTCACTTAACTTTCTTTTGCCTCTCATGCTGAAGGAGGAAGGAGTACAGGCATTACTACATTTTTCTGCTTCTTTAAAAACAGTTCAGTAGTTATGCTTGCATAATACGTAAGCACTAAGAACTTTTTTATAAAAGGTTTTTATGTGGTTTTTTCCCCCTTGAATTTTGGTCAGCTTCCAGACAGTCCTTGTATTATTTCAGCAAGCTCTTTTTTTTTCCTTAGTATTGCTTACTCTGAAAATCAGCTTGGAAACCTTTAAGGTGAGAAAGAAAATGTTTGGTGTGAAGTAGAAGGCAGATTACTGGGTACCATGGATAAAACAAAGGAAGGGATTCAGAGAGAGGGCTGAGAATGTAATAAACTCATTGATGGTAAAACTAGCCCAAATCAGGAGTTAGTAGCTAGTATGTAATGAAAGGCTTAGTAAACTAAGTGCAGTGTGGTGAGTAGGGGGGATGTGATTTCAGTTCTTAGGTGCTTAGTGAGCGTATAAGGAAACCCAAGGTGCTCCTGATGTTAGTTGCCAGCGTTGCCCATTTCAATGTGGTGTTCAAGGACTTTGTGAGCAGGGGAGGCTGAACTAACCACATTGTGCTACCGTTCACAGTTACCCTTTCAAGGTCAAAATATACTGTTAAGGTGGCCAGGAAGCGCTGTCCTCATTGTGCCCTTGTTCTACCTTTTCTCAAGATGCTAAGGGGTGCTCAACATCCAGTTCATCCATTCTGACCAGCCTTGGATTAAATATATATATATCTTTTAAATGGGCTGGATGGCTTAAATGCAATGGAATATGGTGTTTTGTGTAGCTTTTCATCTATGATTCATGCCAAAAGACTTGTGTCTCACTAGGCTTTACCAAAGCAAGGATGAAGACTGTAAGAACCCGAGAAGAAATTCCCAAATGAGATTTAGGTGTGAGGTATCATTTGGGGAGTGGGAAGGAGAGTTTCCACGTGTTCTGATCACCTTTAAACGACGTTTTCCAGTGTGACTGCAGCAAGGAGACCTAGGAGAACAATGAAATAAATGCCTAAGGAGAAACATTCAAACAGCTTCTTAAACTAGGGAA